GAGGTTGGAAAAAAAAGCTTTCCTGCACTCGCGACTATACTAGAAACATGGTAGTGAGGTGCAAATCGTGGTTGAATTTAAAACGATCGCTGAGGACCTATGGTGACACCTGTTATGGCCACCTTGCTATTCTAAAAAAAGTCTGCCTATCTAGCGAAATACGAGTAGAATGAGGGCTGTAATGCGGCCTCTGGTGCTCGTAATGTCCGTCCGTCCAGGTGTTGCATAGGTTGATCTGGGAATACAGTGGGTTGTTACGGTAGTGTTTCTTGCGTAAGAAAGTGCATTGAAGGTCTGCAACGCGGTGATAACCATTATATGGGAGGGTGCCAAGGGCAGGTCGTCGGCGTGAATTGCACGCCGCAAGTCTCCGGCCACACTCTCGCTGGCGGCCTGACGGCAGCAGCTCCAAATGACTGCTGCATCCACGAATCCCATGGAAGTGAAGGATCGCCGGAACACCTATGTGGTGAGTTCCTCACAGTCATTTCAGGACTATCAGTACTGATCTTCAAGCTGAAATCCTGAGCTCCAGTTGGACATACAGTAGAGTATTTCACACCTTTTGAAGAGACATACGAATGTTTACTAGATACCTCCATTTATTTTTCTGCTTTTCATCTATCGCATTCGAGGGCGATGATGATTCGTTTTTCTAAAAGTCCTGAAGAATCCGAGTTTTACAGTCGTCAGATTCTCGTTTTTCTTCTGAGAAATTTCCGTGATAGACTCTATGTAGATACTATAATACTGAGATATTTGCAAAACTCCGGACCGCAGACACCTGCGGTGGGGAACGAACGCGCTATTGTCCTTTCGGGGGAGTAACGCGTTCACCATCACACCATGCCGGTCCTTCGTTTCGCCTGTCTCTCAGCTAAGAAGAAATCGATAGAACTAGCTGAGAGACAGGCGAAACGAAGGACCGGCATGGTATGGTGGTGAACGCGTTACTCCCCCGAAAGGACAATAGCGCGTTCGTTCCCCACCTCAGACACCTGTGGTCCGGAATATCTCAGCATTATAGTACTTATATTTCGCAAAATACCCTGCCGTTAAAAGAATAGGTAGTAAATAAAAAGGTTAAGACTCTATGTAAAGTTATTTGTTTAAATGCTTATTGAATACATTGGTTTTAGGTTGGAGCTGGCGACAATTTGAATTGGTCTAAGCATTTTTTTACTGGCTAGAATTTAGTGAAGTCCTCTATTGTTTTACCATTCAATATCATTTCTTCAATGTTTTCGTGGAATTGTCTTCTGCTCACCATTGTCACTCACCATATACAGTGTCCAAACCAGTTCTTTGTTTCTTTTGTTCTTGAGTGTTATTATGGGCATTGAGTATGCCCGTTTAAGTTCAATCAGGCACTGATCCTTTCTCGACAGTACTCTTTTCCGTTGACTGCTTTTCCTCGTTCCTAATATCTATGGTACTTCAGGATTTTGGCCTTCGTTCTATTTATAGAACAAACTTTGCGCTATCGATGCAAAGGTATTCATGGTTGTTCAGAACTCTTTTTTGTTTCGTCTTTTTTTTTTTGTTCCACACGATACGATACGACATCATGTTTTGTGTAGATCCCACCATTTCTTGCATTCGATTCGTTTACTTGCATCTATCATCTACGAAGGTTTTCGGTCTTGTAAGCTTAGTTGCTGTTTTAGAACATTGAGTCTTTGTGAATGTCATTGAATGCTGGTTGAGTTGGTCCTCCTTGCGATATTCGTGCTACGGTGTTCCTAGAGCCTCCTTACCGGAATCCGCCAGCTTTTGTGGATCGCAGGAGCTCATTCCACACAAGTTTGGTCTTGATTGCTCAACCCTGAAGGAAAGGTATGAAGTGGTTATTCTGGAGCAAGGTCGAACCAAGAACTTTTGCATATTAGACAGCGTTACTACTCCTGCGCTTCCATTGCTCTCTTCCTAGGCTTTTTTTATCACTAATGAATCGAAATAAATTCATGCTGTCCAGGATATGTTGATAACCAACATAATTACCTACTAAAATCTTTTGCAGTCCTTCATATTCCATCGTTATTGATTCACTTTAAGGCTGCTAATTTCAACTAGGAACTCACGGACGGCTCCGAGATTGCATTGTGGGTGAGCACCGCAAAAGAGCCGGCCTCGACTAGCAGCAGGTGGTCGTTGGTCTCCGAGAGAGAGAGAGTGAAAGAGAAGGGCCATGTTGACAGCGAGCGCAACGCGATTAATGGCATTCCGACGCATGGAAATCGAAGACCTTAACGAGGGAGCACCACGAATTGTTGTATAAATATTTTAGTACTTGATATTAAAATGGCTTGTCCTCATGGACAATGTGAGAAACAGAATTCCCACCTGATTGGTTTGTTGATGTGTTGCTGATTACGAAAGGTTCTGCTCCCTAGAATTCTGAGGAAGCCATGATAGGCCGTTCTCATACTGCGACCACAAACCGTGGTCTGCTTCTATAGATAGCAGGAAGGCGTGCTATAATGCGACAAGGTTTCGTCAACAACTTTTTGGCTGACCTTTTTTGAATAATGGAAATCATGATTTATATATTTGGGAAAGGGGTAGCGCAGTGGTTAATAATGCAGTACATCAGGAAACAAGGTGCTGGTGCGGCCACCTTCGCAACGCTCTCCTCCAATTCACTTGAGAACATCTCAGTTCGGTTGTCTTCAAGATTTCATGAAGAGTCAATTCGACGAACATTCTACGACATTCACAATGAAGAGGAAATCCTCAAGCAGCCTTCCGAAACAGCACGCGAAATGTTCGAGGAACTTTAGGGGAGGTGAATGCTAGGGAAACGAACCAAATGCAAGAAGTGATGGGATCCGCACAGCAGATGTGATGACGAGTTTTATAAAATAATGTGAAATAAAAATTACTATTTATTAATTATTATTTATTGATATAATCGTTGCAATATAAAGAAGACAATAATCTTGAACATTTTCTCGGAAATAGACAACCACACATCTCAAGCGCGATTATACTGTATTTATTCTTCCAACCGTACTTCCTCTTCTTTCTCTCCTTCATCTTCTTTTCTTCTTCTCGTTTTTCATCAACCCGTTTCCCGATATTTTGACCGCTTTACACATTTTTTTAAACATCGTCACAATGACAACAATTGCTGTTAGAAGTTGAATATATAATAGTACCTCATCTTAGTTGATGTTAGCAGCAGTTTTGATAATATTTACCACTTAGTGTTTTTTGCACTTCTATTTCACAGTGCGATGCACACAGGATCGATCCCGCGTCCTAGGCTCACCAAGCCCTCTATCCTTCCGGAGTCGGCAAATTGGTACCAACTTGCCTGGGAAAATAGCAGCACTGGCTCGATACATCGGTAGGCCACCGCGAGTCATTGTAAAGGCCAGATGTGCATTTAGTCACCTCTAACGATGTTTAACGACGTCGGATGCATGGTGCATCTCTCAGGAATAAATCAACGCCGAGAACTTTATCCATTTAGTTATCAGTAATTGCAATTTTTAAAACATCATTTTACACATTGTTTAGAGGTATGGTCACCATACTAATGGACTATTTAAAAACTTGTTTCTGATGAGCAAAGCGGTTGTTACCAGAGTATTTATTAATCAAGAATAGTTGACCATTCGGCAGTTTCGTCTTCCTCAGCAGAAACGTTTGCTCATCAAGTAAAACGGTAAATTATTGATCAATACTGACGTTAAGAAAAAGGCAGTCTTGGGATTTGTCTCTTTTCTCCCAATAGATTTTTCACAGTTGTAAAGTTTAGTCATCTTTTTTGCTTTTACATGGTAGCAATGCCGCACTAGTTCGACTTCATCTCATGCCTACAAAGCCTCTTATCTCTCCAGATTTGACAATTGGGAGCCAAGTCGTTTGCCATCATCTGTCACCACTTTATCCACAGAATTCTGGCTTTTCTTTGTGATGAAGATATGGGAATGGCCTAACACCGCTATGCTAGGATTTCAGGGAGAATCGACTCGACCAGAATTCAGCGACACTGAAAAGGCCAGAAATCCTCAATAAGAATCAAGACACACACATGAAATCTGTAGGCCTTCCTGGATTATTGGTACAAGGAAAGAAATCAAATACAAGTGTGTTGGAATTTACTCATTGTATGATGTCAGGTCATGTGAAACGAATAATTTTTTCAATGAAGAATTTTTTTCATGGCCGACATTGCATATTGTGAGAATCCCATCATTTACCTCATTCAGTTCGTTTCCTTACACCTATCATTCATGAGATCCTTCAGATTTTAAGTGTGCGTTCGGTTTCTGCTCGAAGATTTCCGATTCTTTCATGATTGTTAGTGAGTGCTGGTCGAGTAGATTCTTCTTAGAATAAGTTAATGTTTTCTTCTTCAGCGACAAGATTGTTAACATAAGGTTTATTCAGCAATGGCTAACGTTCCGGCGCTTTCGTCTTCTTCAGAGGCTGAAAAAAATCAAATTGATACGCAATCTACTTAGTGGAACACATTTGCTGGAACACTGGCATGGCTGTGATAGGGTGTTCCTAGGTTTTCCTCTCAGTCAGTCTCCAACTTTTATGGTTCGAAGTGAGTTGTTCCCGAACTCGTACCAATTTCTGAACTCCGGAGTGATGAGGGGTTTGGTCTTTCCGAGACAGAGTCGAAGCAGATCCCTTATGCGTATTATTGAACGGCACCTCCACCACTGCACTATGCGCGTCTATAGTATTCATTACCAGTTGTATTATCGTTTATTATTTAAAAACTCGTAATTCATGAATTTTTTGGCGCAGGCAAATTTGTCATATGATGGTCTTCTTTTGTACTTGTAAATTTTTCACAGACGCTTACCATAGGATTCTGCATCTCCGAAAACTTTTGAGTGCCATTTACTGAATAAATATCTAGTTCGTTCCTCGTCGGTGCCAAATCTGCAATTAGTTGGACTATCTGTCCCACACCTTGCCTATACTGGGATGCCAAAGGCTTCACTGGCGTGGAATGCGAGCGATAGCGCGTAGGGAAAATCTGCTACGTCCACAAAGCCAATTCCGGGAAAATTGTTTTGTCTCATACTGGCCACATTACTCGTCCTGTTTGCTCGAAGTAAGCAATGACTGGTCGCCCGTACTTTGTACAGTACCCGTCACGACAACAACCCAGTAACACAGGCTCGGTAAAAATCGTTAGCAACTGACATCTTATCTTTTGTCTTTCTTCGTTCTTCGACGGGCTGCTCAAATTCCGTGATAAGAATAGATGTAAGGTCATCACTCAGCTTTTTGAAGTTTCAAAGAAAGAAGTAAGAAAACAAAGGTTGCTGTGACATCGATGGCTGCCAATTTTCCGATAAATGTAGCCCTGAATACATGACAAGTTGGCTATTGCTCAAAGGGAACATGGGATGTATTTTATTACTAAAATTTAATATGTCGTAGGGAAATGTCGTGTGGTTCTTGATGTAACTCGTTTTTCAGCCACCGCCTAAACTTCCAACAGTAGACGATGTGAGAAAAGTGATTCCACCACACTGTTTCGAGAAAAACCTTCTCACATCTGTCAGATATCTAGTGCAGGTCGGTACACATAGGTCATAATTTCATAGCCATTTTATTCATATTTTGCGGCTTTTTTATCTGTCGAATTTAGGATCTTCTCATTCTTGCTGGCTTGTACATAATTCTTCCCTACGTGGAAAACTACTTAGGTTGGATAGGATATCTAGGATGGTAAGTATTAGTGCTGAAGAAACAATTCGCCTTCCTCAGAGCCTGGACTTATTATTTTCTACAAGAATAGTTTAATAATTCGATGGAAGAAACCAAAGTATTAATGAAGATCTAACATATAAATAAACTCTGTATTGATCAAAAGCTATTCACCGTGCTGTTACGAGTGGGCTGCCGCGTGTTGTTCACGTGGGATGACGAACGAGACTTACCCGGGTCAAAAAATCGCTTTGAAATAAGACGCCAGGTTACGTGTGGTATTGAGGCATACGTTCTTACTGTTCATCATTGAATTTTTGAAATTTATCCAAAAGGCCTCAAGAGTCTGGAGCGTTGATGTTTTTGATTCCTGTGCTAGGATCCGGGCACTCACATCAAGATCATCGCCATTGTCCTATTTGTACCTATAAGAGTAAAAACAACTTTATTTCGTCCTAAAAGAAAACTCATTCCGATGGTTCCAGTTCCGTAGCCAGAATTCATGTGCGACGCAGCAACTCATCAGTAGAACACAAAGGTAACCACAACAAAAGTAAACATAAAAAATTCGCGGCTGCTGGTAATTTCATGCAATTATGTGACTCTCCTCCTAACCGTTTACCGCCTCATCGTGGCTAACAGCAGTTCGTGGGAGTCGGGCTGCGATGTACAGCAAAAGGTTCATCTCTCCAGTAAGGCCTCATAAGCTGAGAAGGAGTGCGGTGTTTCCATCAGGAAGCCCAGCTAAGATTGAGCCAGTACCAGAATCCATCACCGTCCTGGTATCAGACTAATCGCATGATGGCAGATCTTCTGATCCACAAGGGCGGCGATTGCCTGTGGTGGTGACGACCTGGGGCAGATTTTGGCTAGGCTGACTTCGGAACTCCAGGGAATAGCAATGACTGAACCGGCAGAACTCCGAAAAAATTGGAATTATCTAGGGCCTGCACAACTAGTTAACATGGGCTATCTAAATATCCAAGTAAATGAGCAAGTGTTTGACTCTATGTCTAGAAAATCCGGGACACAAAGTTCGTACTAGCAGTTTAGTGCACAGTTGAATTGCTCGCTAAAAACATCTAAGAATTCCCTATAAGTCATTGGTAAATCAAGTTGCCGGAATCTTTTAACAAATGAGTATAGTGGTATACTACCACACTAACCATGAATTGTTGAGACATATACTTTCAGTTCGTGAATGTGAATTTCTATTACTTTTACATTTGAGATCTCGCATGAAGAAAATACATAATTGTAAAAAAAAGTGCTTATATTGAACAACTAAAAATGTGTTATCGTAGAATTGAAGTCAGATGACAACTGCTAATATGTAATTCCCAGAACCGACTTTTTATTAACTTCGGCATTGATTGGTAATTCGCTGTTTTTCTTTAATAAGTAGACACGAGGTTGTTACAGAATTTATTAGGGTACAATAGCTGTCGTATCGGCAGTTTCGTCTTCAGAGCCTGGAAAGGTCCAGCTGACAAGCGATTTACTCAGCCAAACACTTTCATAACCCTAGCAGATAAAACTTAACAAATAAATTTGCATTAGCACAAAAACAGCTTAATTTAAATACCTACCATTTATCCGCTGCAAGTATTCCAATTAGTTGGTGGAGAGCAGCCGAACAGAGCAATACATGGGCAAGGACTGCGCCTAAGCCAGGTCATTGATTCAGTCTGAGGTATGGCGCGAGGTCACGCATAACCTTAGCAAGACACTCCTCCTTGCGGTTCATTTTTGGGCTTTTGGAATTAATCCAAAACGCTTCAAGAGTTTTACGCACTGATGTTTTGGATTCCTGCGTGAGGGTAGTGACTTCCACTTCGAAATCTTCTCCGTTGTGTTTTTGCCGCCTATGCAATCCTATTTTTGCGTGTTAATATGTAATGGATGAATTTGAGTTCTGACTGAGTTTGTGTGAAAGAATTCGGACCTCTATAAACGATCAGACGTACAGAAGATCAGATGTGCAGCAAATCTTGTTCAGGTGCTGGATGTTCGGCATTTGCGGTTCTGCGTTGTTCGTTGTTGGCCATGATTGTGGACACGGCTCGTTTTCTGAGTACGAGTGGGTGAACGACCTGTGCGGACACATCGCTCACGCTCCAATCCTCGCCCCCTACTGGCCTTGGCAGAAGAGTCATCGTCAGCATCATCAGGTTGTTTGTGTATTGTGATAAATAGTACCTGTGATGGGATTCTGTGACCACTTTTCTGGCGATCAGTTCAGAAAAATGCAGTGCATTATCCCTTCGTGAGATTGACAATACGCTATTTGGTCCTCAATGGGTAACGTTCCGACGACTTCACCTTCTTTAAAGTTTTTCCATCATATAATTTCTTAAGAGCTGATACCACTCGTAGGAGCACGAATTCAGGAAGCTCGATATCGATTGAGAAGCTGAAGGGTAAGAGGAAGATGTAAATGTGCAACAGGAGAATAAATCACTAAAGCGTGCTAACTCGAGATAGGATATGCACTGCATCACAGCGCCAAAGCTAGGAAACGAGGGCTTAAACAGACGAGCAGTGTGGAGCAAGATGGTTGCTGCAAAAGAATTTTCCTATTCAGTTGAAGTTCTCCTTTAATCTTTGTTTAATTCTGCAATTCTTGAGGATATTATCACAGCCAAAGTCACTCAAAATCGATTCACTGTGGTCAGAAGACATGTTACCTGTTTTGAGTTAATAATTATTTCGTGAGAAGAAAACTTTTATAAGATGCATGTTATTGGAGTTCAAAAAAAGGTTATTTGTGTTCGTTAAAGCATTTTGACTATATGCTACTTGTCTTTGGGGAGGGCCTAGGGTAGTGGTCGGAGGCGCTCTGCAACACACCTGGAATCGACCCCTCGCCCCAGGCTTACCAAGGCTTCCATCCCTCCGGGATCGGCAAATTTCTACCAATCTTATCTGGAAGGGTAGCAGCACTGGCTCGATACATGGTAGGCCACCGCGAGTCATTGTAAAGACCGTTCAAATACGTTCAATCACCACCAACGATGCTAAATGAAGTCGAGTGCATGGCGCATCCCTCAGAGGTTGATAAACGCCAAGAACTTCATCCTCTATCCTTTTATGACTCGTTTTTAAAGAGAACAGATCGTTATGTCGTCAGCAGATACCAATTACATTGAGACAAGTACAGATTTTGAAAGAGCTTTTTTCTGTCATTTATATGGATCCCAATGAAACATTGCGTGCTTTTGAACTACCGTACTCATATTTAACTGTAACTTTGAAATTTTGCTAAAACAACGAATTTGTACGTTCTGTTTAGTGCTTTCTGATTATTCTGGTTTCAGTGTCGTCATTTTTCAGTATACTTCTCACTTGGACAAAGACAAAGGACATCCATGGGTGACCGAGGAGAAATTTATGCAGAAAACACTCCTGGAGAAATATTTTGCTTGTTTCCCGCTCTCCGGATGGATAAGGTACGTCTTAATTATTGTTAAAAATAGGATATATACGAGAACACTTCTAATTGAAAGTGCGTAGAAAACTCCATTTCGCCTACCAGTGATTGAGTTTGTTATTAGAGGTGATTATCGTATTTAAACAGTTTCGGACATTTATACAGTTTGGGAAGTTATCAAATGGATTTTTTTAACCTTCTTTGCCACCGTTATCATTGCTCTATGGCATCACCCTTGCGCGAGGTATTCTTGGGTGATGAAAAGCAGTGTGTAGTAAGGAGGTGCGTACAGGTGGCAGAATGATTTGAACAGAAGGGTTCGATGTTTATGAAATTTGAGATAAAAGTGTGCGCCAGACATCATTAGCATCGTGGAAGGGATTTAGTCGAGTGGTGACAGACATCAGGACCACAGGTGTCAAGGGTTTCTTGTTATGATGGCCTTGAGCATTCTGAGATCTCAGGAAAGATATGAACGTATTGGATCAAGATTAGTAAATTAGGCAAACTGGATTCCAACGAAGACATTGTTTTGTGGAGCGATGGTCGATGAAAAAATAGTAGTTTTCGAAAGACAATTCATAACATTTCTGCGATGATCCTGTGTCGTATGAGATCCATCATTCATCGTACGCCATAAAATTCAGGGAAGAGGTCGTTTCTATTGCGTGAAAAAGATTCGGAACAGACTCAGTGACGACAATCTCGCCAATCAATCATTCGGTTCATATGGAATCCACTTATCGCACTTTTTTTTCCTTTCAATGTCTTCCATATGATGAATGGTTATTGGAATGTTAATGTTGACGCTCGCTAGAAAACCTTGAGTCGTTTTTGGAAGGGCCAGCTTCGGTTGACGGCTTCAGGTGGTTGTCATCAATTACTGATAAGCTCCCATAACCTATTCTTCAATATAAAAACTCATATCTCCTATGCGTAAACTTATGAACCATCTGTGCATTGTGCTTTCAGGGACTCTTCCCTGGTCCATATTTTGATGATATTTCGAGTTGTTATTGCCTTATGGTTGTTCACATTTGAACTCATGAAAATCGAAACGATGAAGTTTCCTCGATTGCGGAGCGTCATTTCAATCGGTCTAAAACCCGTTATAAATTAAGTGTTAAAAAGGTGTTGGTTCACAGTTTGTTAAGAATTAAGCTTTAACATGGTGTTCAGCTGTAATATCAGCGTTGGATATTTGTTACATTCTTTTCCTAAACATCAGGATGGCAAATTGAGCAGTCATTTCTGTAAGGCGTAATTTTAAAAAATCCATAGAGCAGAATCATAGAGTACTTGCAGGTGACCTTCGAAGACCTTTGCTCTGACATTGATTGACTACGAAAAAACGTTTGGCAGCGTTGAAATCAGCGTCTTAGGAACGCTTATCGGTCAAAAACTAGACCGTGTTTTGTTTGATGGGAAACGAATAAAGGTGGATAGGCAGAAATGGCATACCATACCTATGGATACTTAGGACAACCACTGAGCATCGAGAATAACATAAAAAAGCAGCCATGTAAAGGAAAAGCTGCATGAGCCGTTCTCGCTCATATTGGAGAACTCTCCAGTCAGACAAGCACATTTACTCTCTATTCAACAGAGTTCTGCGAATTCAACAATTGATATTGCTTAGCACTGTGGTCATCTTTAAGCAGTAGAATTCGATTTGTTTCAGAGAGATTTTCCTCTCAGTGCAAAAGAACCTAACCATTACAGGACTTTGCAATGTTGAAGATTGGACAAAGCGATGTACCTAAGGCAAAAAGAACGCCGCCTCGTAAGGTGTTGAAGGAATTCTTTCCTCAGCCGATATTCCAAATTTTTGCTAATCCACAATGATTCCTGTTTATCCACAAGTGGGCGACTTTTGTAGCTCACGAGAAATTCGGCGTACTGCTAAAATATTCTAAGGCTTCTGATAGGTCAGAGGATTTTTGCATACTCAGTTATCGTCAGAAGTGTTGCATGAAAACCTTGGTATATGTGATTCTAACAGAACCTGTTGTATAATTCGAGCACATTGACGATGTGGGCCATCCATAGGATTTTGTTGAGAATGTTCATCAAATTCTACTTTATCGTAGAGATGACTGAACGCATATTTGGTCTATACAAGAGCATATAAGGGCCTAGTGGTTTCCATCTTCCCCGACACAAAGCTGATACCAATGTTGCGCCTGCAGAGTGATGGAGGACTTGTTTGCGCAGAGAGGCGGAACCGAAGCAACGACAAAGTGTGTATTATGGCACCTTTGACCACTGCGCTACATGCACTTCTTTAATGCATAAGTAATAAGTTTTTTCTGTATTTTACATAACCCATAATCACATCTAATGTGCGGATCTCAGCATAATGCTGTTCTACACAAGACGGTTGTTGTTGATGCTGATTGTCCGCTGATAGTCGGCTGTTTTTTTCTCTCGAAGAATCCATCCTGTGAAGTTCGCTATCATTGCTAGCTGGTACAGAGCGTAACAAATTTTTAAAGATGCTCCTTTAACCTAGGCGTGGCTATTCATCGTGTATTGTTTTTCATTGGTAAGCTAACACAGGGTTGATAAAAATAACTTTTCCTTGTATTCTTGCATTCACGAACAAGCTGACTCTTCGGCGGATTTCATCTTCCTCAGAACCTGGAAAGGTCAAGTTGACAGCAATTTATTCGGCCGAAGACTTCCATAACCAAACAGAGAAAAAACTAAACCAAGATTTCAATCACATTGAACACAGAATAGCTTCTTTGCACACTCACCGCTTCTATGAGCCTTTTAACATGGATCCGTAAAAAAATAACTTTGTTCGGCTGACCTATCGGCGCCATCGTCTTCTTCAGAGCTGGATTAATCCTAGTCATTTTTCTGAATGTGCACAAAACTGTGCAGATCCGGTGATCCCTTATGATGGAGGATTTCTCTCGGGCACGGCAATTCAAGCGAGTGTCGAGTGCAAGGCAAGTGCTGGATGGGTTTGTTTGTCCCTTCTGGGCCTTTGTCACCTTCCGCCGACGAGCTGCCGCCTGTGCGCGACTGACGATCGAATCCGTCCATTTTCTTGACTCTCAGAACTACTGAATATTTATAAACCAGTTTTTATAATAAATAAAAAGGGTAGAAAGGGTTATGTACATTAGAACGAATGACAAAAACAGGCAGTTGAAGTCCATATATACAGTTCATTTATGAAAGTTGAACTCGAAAACTTATATTATTAAAGCTTCCGAGCGAAGCGGAAATAGTTTACTATTTTGGCCAGGTTTCAGTAGTTACTTGACAAAGCATTGCTAAGTTCAGTTAACTTATTGGATGAGGACGATTCAAGTGGCTGAGTTATTTTCATTTATGAATACACAGTGAAGAGCAGGACTACTCAGCTGGATGAAATTAGGGCAACATTAAATTTTCCGTGGATAATTATCGCTATTCTAGAAGGTTTTCCATGAAACAAGTAGAAATCGATTAGTCGTTGCGTTAAAAGGTTTCTTTTTTGACATGACGAAAAGAACCAGAAGCCGTGCAGTGTAATCTAAAAACTAAATCGATTCTGTCGACTTAGGAAGCTGCTTGTCCGACTAGCACGGAAGGTATCAAACAAGATCTCAGTGAAGTGAAATGGCAGTGATTCAGGTGGAATCCGATCTACACAATAATCGGTCTGCCGGACGGCTCACATTTCTGGCCGTGGTCGCGATTGTTCACCACCACCGCCGACCGCGTCAAGTGCGTCATCTCTGGAGCTGCTTGTCTGTTCTGTGCTGTTGTCAGTTTTTGTTGTGTTCCTTTCTTTTTCTCAAATGAAGGCGCGGTTGAGTAAATGGTTTCAGGTGGTATTTGCGCTTTGCGATTACTCGGTTTACAACTGGTTCAAATACTACTATATTCCGTTGCTGTTTCAAGGCTTAATCTTGGTGATTATCACCTATTTACAGCACCAAGACGAAGAGATCGAGGTGAACAACATACACTTCATTTTAATCGGAGTCGTTTAGAATTTTTTCTTGTCTTTTTAAAGTGGTTCGAATTTACTTCACACTTCGGAAGTATCAGAGTTTTGTTATTCACCAAAATCGGATCTGTGTTTAAGCCAATAGCGAATGCCATAGTAGAACAGGCTCAAGAATGAACACAGTTAGATAATACTAAGTCTGCTTTATGGAAAGAATCGCATTTGCTTCTAGCTGTTCGAAACAACAAGTTATTTTTAAGACAACTTCCATACATTTGCTCAAGCTTCTTGAATATTGAATAACTGGGGTTATCAATCATACACAAATTGGATTTTTAATGCAGATAGTCTTAGGATTGAAAAAGGATGCCTGGAGTAGGGGTCATTTCGGAGGGTTGGTCAGACGATCAGCGACTTCTTTGCAACTTACCTGGGATGTGAAGTGTACGTAGTGTTTAAGTCAAGTGGAGTTTGTTTACTGAAGGTACTGTTTCGCAAATAATACGTCTTCGTTTTCTATCTCTCTCAAATGGATTAAGCTTGAAGCGCTAGCTCAGTAAAGATGAATTTTATGGCGTTGACTTATTTTATTGGAGAACAGTGTCATGTCTGTCTTATCGATAAGCTTGCTGAATGAAACAAGATTTTACCAGTACAGAGATATGCTTAGGTCTACCAATGAAGAAGCCAGAGTTCTGTGCCTCAGCAACAAGTTTACGTATTATTCAGGGATGGTTGGAGGGAGGAGTGCAGCTTGATTTCCCATAGAACGGAGTTGAGCGAAAGAACAAATTTGTTCTGGGACATTGTACTGCGCGTTTTCCAAGGCTTTGGATAGAAATTAATGTCGTTCTTATCCAAATTGAGGGGTGGACATTACTATTCAAATGCCTACTTAGAACTGGACCATGCCACCAATTGCCTGTGTTTTGGAGGAATCGTAATCGAGAAGTGACAGTATTCCTCTGGTTCACAAAACCCTGCGAATTCCTTCGGTTGCGACCACAGAACGCACTTGCACGACCGTACCGGGAATCTTAAGAAGGAAAAAGACATGCCTGATCACAGACAGGGTCATTTAGGCATCGAAGTAACCAAATGTTCAATGATGCCGAGATATTTGCAAAACTCCGGACCGCAGGTGTATACGGTGGGGAACGAACGCGCTATTGCCCTTTCCGGGGAGTATAGTATCAAATATCTCAGCATCATTGAAGTTATATTTCGCAATATACCCTTCCATTAACAAAGACTAGGCAGTAAATAATAAGTTGAAGTTGTAACCAAATGTTGTTTGTTTATTTTAAAATAACGGGGTAAAACTTTAATCATTTTTGGAAACTTTTTTGAAAAGGTCGCACTGTTGTCATTTTCTTTCATTTAGTTCTGAACAAAACTTAAATGTATTATTAAAACTAAGAAAAAATTTAGTGGCCGTAGCCAAAAATGACCACGGAACCAATGGCATGTTTCGTTTTTCAGGTGTATGAGAACGACGAATGGTCATTCGTTCGTGGCCAGACGCAGACAATCGACAGAAAATACGGTCTTGGACTCGATACAATCATGCACCACATCACCGACGGTAGGGATGAGGTCGTGAATAATCATCTATCTGACACTAAAAACTAGGCTCACATTGGCAGTATATGTTGAGGGAGAACGAGCTCTGTTGGAATAATTATGAGAGGAATATTACTTGGAACTGAAAATAAATTGGTAAATATTCTTAACGTGTGAAAGGGACGTGTATAGTGTAGTACTTAGAGTCGCCCAGCAATGCAAATGGGTTCGATTTGGCGCCCCAGGCTCACCAAGCCTTCCATCTGTCCGGGGTCGGCAAATTGCTACTGGACCTGTCTGGGAGGATAGCAGCACTGGCTTGATGCATCGGTAGGCCACTGCGAGTCATTTTACAGGCCAGATATTCATTAAATCACTGCCAACGATGCTTACCGAAGTCGAATGCATGGCGCATCACTCGGAGACCGATCAACGCCGATAGCTTAGCTTCATCTTTTTGCCTTTTATATTCGCAAACAAGGGCTGATCTCTAGGGACCTTTCTCAGTTGTTTAGAGATTTCTTCAGTACCTTTGGTCTTGCTTAGCTGAAAATTAGTTCATGTTTCGGTTAAATCCAGCGATTCCACATGTGAACTGAATTATCATATCTCGTCACGAACAATTCTCGGTTATTTACCCTCTCATTCTGATATGAGATTGTTTAATTCCTGCGAATATTGTGTTCAGGCCACGTTGCTCATCATTTCTTCTTCACTAAGATACCTCATTACCATCTGATTGAAGCCACGGAGCCTATCAAGAAGGTAAGAACTTATGGACGTTATTTATTACTATTGTTATTATTCAACCACAATGATGCTGAGATATTTGCAAAACTCCAGGCCACAGGTGTCTGCAGTGGGAATCGGACGCGCTATTACCCTTCCCGGAGGCTAACGCGTTCACCATAACACTATGCGGGTCCTTGGTTTCGCCTGTCTCTCAGCTAATTCTATCGATCAGTGCCATCCGTTGCTATCAAATTTTTTTGCATGAACTACAATATATAGCAAAAGTTTAGGATCAAAAGATCGGGTTATGTTTGCAAAACGAAGACAACACGAAACAGACATCAAAGCGCTTTCGTTTTATATTCCAACATTACGTGAACAATACAATGCCTTCAGATATTGGAACCACTCAAGGATACACCGTATGGTTACAAGTCGGAGACGAACTACGACTTCTTCTTCAAGTATCTCTGGTCAAACATTCATTTGGACTACCTGATCAACAAGAGTAAAGGCGTACTGCAGTATCGGATCGGCGTCGAGAAGGCCACTAAAGCGTGCTGATGATGATGGTCCCTGTTATGCCCTTTGCGGATTGTTTCTGCTCTGTGCATGTGTGTTGTTTACTTAGCGCGCACTCATCAACAACTAGCCACTTGTTTCCTAGTCCGATTGTCTTGCTTAGTTGTTGCGGGTTATTCCGTGAAACTTATGTTTGTGTGTGATAAAATCGTTTGTGAAGCAGTAGCGTTTTCAACCACGGACCTCATTCATAGCAGGGATTTTCGTCTGTTTACTTATGAGAATAAATAATGAGTGGGATGCTAGAAAGCGATCTGACGAAAATGAATTTCACGAGTGAGCTTCCTCTTTTCTGCTGCACCAAGCGGACTTATAAGTTCTGTATAGTTGTAATCGTCTTCACGTATAAGTATGTTATTGTGCTTGAATTTTTGCGTGCTGTATCCTACAGAGGGAAAAAATTGTTCAAATCACTAAGTACAGCGGGGAGTGGCTCGAGATAAGTGTCAACAATTTAGCTCACATATCTCCCGGACATTCCGAAATTGTACTTAAGGAAATCGAGGCCCTACCTCAAAGACAAGCCATGGCTAGTCTTGAGAATCGAGAGAAGGGGGATAAGAACAAAAAACCTCGTACGAAATGTGTTGCACTACCCGTATCCCTTCGCCAAGAGCAGTCCACTGGATTGCATCTTACGGCGTACTGAGGATAATTTACTGGTGCTCCGTGAACTACTCTGTTTAACAGAGCCATGAATGATAGGTAGTAAATGGATATTCACGAGAGTGAGGTGAGTAGGACAATATGACATAACATAGTTGAAGGTAACTTCGTTTAAAAGTTTAATCGAATCTGCTGGCTATCAATATCTGCCTGCGATTTAATTATCGAAATCAGTAGATGGCAGCGAAGCTTACGTAGGTAGAAGTGGCCATATATATTGTTAAATAAGCAAAATCATGACCTTTAACTTTGCTCCGACCCATATTACCTGTTCAAGTCTAAGTTCCAGTGCGGTTCCACACATATCGAGAGATCTGGCAGCACTGTGACAGTGTATCAACTCTGATTCAACAAGGAATTCTTTTACAACAGTATAGTTCCCAAGCACTTTGTTGAGTGACGGTTGGACAGCAACCAGTTCAAATCCTCCCGGTTGATGCATTTTTCCAAACTCAAACAATACGTTGGCGCTACGTGCTAAGGAGCAACGACCATTATGGAGAACGATTTTGTTTCAACTGAACCCCTGTATTAATCTGATGGTTTTTGAGTAGGCCATAGAACATTTTTGCCTTGCGAATATCATCAAGATCTTCCGTACAAAAGAGAATTTTAAAAATTCTACTGAAAAGAAACTATCATGTCTCTAACTCAATACTTACAACAAATAAACGGCTCTGAAGAAGGCGAAACCGCCGAAACGTCAGCAATTGTGTTCTAATAAATTCTATATTAACAACCTCGTGTCTGCTTATTGATGAAAAACATTGAATTATCAATTAATGCCGAGGTTAACAGAAAGTCGGTCATGGGAATTATCATGTCTCTAGTTCTGAGCAACGGCTTTCGCTTATGCGAAAACGTATTTTGGTTTTAAAAGACGGTAAAAGCGGTCTAAAGGTAGAGTATAGTATTTTTTCATGTAATACTCTAACTTGGTTTCTTTTTCTTCAGACTGTGAGTTGTTTCATTTTTCGTACTAAGGCTTGTTAGAAACCTACTTCTACTAATGGTTCAACTCCCTTTTCTCCAGGCAACAAAATTGGAAGGACATCATACATCCAGATGAAATCCTGGAATCTTCAAGGATAGTATCTGGCACATATCTGTCCTCTTTAGTGCAATATAGCTTTCATAATCTCTTCCCTTTTTTCTTCCTTTCGGTTCAACGCCTTTCAAATGAGTTGCGATACTCGTCGAAGGTTGCGTTTCGGGTGAGGACAGTCCACATTAGGAATTTCGACGAAGAACTTTGTGTAAAACAGGGGATTTGGCTTTTTGAACATTAAGATAGAAATACACAAAGAAAATGCAATAGCATTACCGTCAAAAATATTAATGCCAGAAAAACAAAAACATTAATTAGTATTCTAAATATTTTACATCAGCTCAACCAGACATGTTTACTGTCCAATTTTCTACCTAAAATGAGTTCGCTCACAAACAGAATTGCTATCCTCCTATTCCCTTTTTACTAATTTTGATCCTAATTGATTAGTAATAGCTATAGAAAGTTTTGAGGCAAAAAAACTCTCCTGGAGGAAAATTTATCAGTCACTACGGCCTAAAATAAACCAAAAGCGCTTCTGTTCATTGGTTAGACCGATTTTTTACAAAATCAACTGCACCTGATTGTGATTCGAATAACAGATGTGCATCGGTCAGGTAGTGATGTTTCTTTGTGCTGGGCAGTTGACAAGGATCATAACAGGCAGTTATCCACATTCCACCGGTAAGTGTTGGAATGCGCACTTGGTGCTCTTCAAATCTGAGACGAAGGTGACGGTGCGCAAGAGGTTGTTGCGAGTTCTGGCTTGTCGCCATGTTCACAAAAATATTTCCTGAGGGATTTTTCTTTTCTGGATTTCTAGATATCAACCTTAAACAGAGTTGGATTTCGTGTCCAGTGTTTCCATACTAGGAAGTCATGAAAAATTCCTTATATTTCTAGGGTATTCTACGTTTTCTCGGTTCTTCCCTGAACGCCTTTTCTTAGGCTACTCATAATACAGTTATGAAGTTGTGAATTAGTACCACAAGAATGCTGAAATGTGCATGAAAGTAGAAGCCTCAGGTGAGCGTCGTAGCTGCGATTAAGCTTGCTGGGGCTCAAGTTTTACCTACTACACCAACCAAGGCTCTTTGTCTTTCTATCAACCATTTTTTTAAACTATCGGTGCTATCAGCATTCACCCATGGACGGAAATGATCTGAGGAACAGAAATAGCCATTTAACCCAGCTGAGCTGAAGCTGCAGTCAAAGCCAAAACGCCTTAACTTTCATTTACTGCCTATTTTTTCATTATGGCAAGGTATAATGTAAAATGTTGTCTTATGAAGTTGCTTGAAAAGTTTGCGGCGATAAAAGGACTCGTTGTTGTCCCATTCAGAAAACCAGCCTTTTTCGGCGACTGTTTTTTCCTCGCTGTTTGAAACGCAGTCATCCAGTTGTGTTTCTTCGAATCTTGCAAGCTCGCAGTGCAACGCGATGAATAAGCGAAAATCGGCTTGTCCAGCGAGAGGTGGAGCTGCCGAGCTGCCGACAAATTGAGGCGGTCGGTTCGATGAGTCGATGAGTTCGATGGACCAATAAGCGATCGGTTAGCCGAAAACCACCGGTAATCCGGTTGAGACGAGGGCGGGCTGAACTATATAACTGACTCCGGAGCAGAAAACACCTCCAGCATAAACGGCACATGCAGCGATTCCTCGGCGTCGTCGTCATTTGCTGTACTGCAGGTATTAGCAGGAATTTAATGTCTTAGACTGCGACCACAGTGAACATCACTTCAGGTCAAAACCTCTTCGGAAGCTAATTTTCATAGTTGCACTAAAGAGTTCATGTATTCACTAACAGAACTGGTAGGGTTCCAAAAATTTGTACGTCACATATAGAGTGAATCATCGAGTAATCCCTTCTCAGAAACGCCCTTGTAATTTTCAACATATCTACTCTATTTCTAAGTGTTCAATCTGTTCATTCTAGCAATCTGCCATGCCGAAATCAAATCCGTCGACGACCCTCCGCAGCATTGGCGAGCGATTCTTGGTGATATTTGTCAGCTTCCATCTTTTCCGCGAGCCACTGGTGATCCACATCGATATGTGGACTGCGTCCGACAAGATTCTTTAATAGGAAACAGGTGAGACATAAATTTGAATGTAGAGGTTCTTATTTTTTCTCTTAGAATTCTCACACCCACTCATTGTCACTCTTCTCTTCAAGGGTGCTTTTTTCGGTGATTTGTTTTCATGAGCTTTTTACTGTTGTTTACCAAACAGCAGAGGGTGAGAAAAACCTAATAATCTGAACCGATTAAGTTTGGAGTTTAACAAAGTGGTTTTGACAAAGCTCATTGGAGGACTTCATAGAAGTCCTTCGCTTGCTGTGCTTTTCTACAACCCGAACTTTTAGGTCATTTTGATCCTGTCGCGCTTTCAACCATAAATTCAAACTTTATTTTCCTACCTCTCAAACATCATTTGTCCACAAGCTATTTTATGGGAGATACCTGTCTTTATGAGAGAATCCTAAAGAAGGAAAACAGGACGGTTGGCTAAGTCTTAAAAGCTGATGCGACATCTTGTTGCTTTCTCCCTCTACTAGCCGTATTCATGAACATACTCATTTCTTTGTTTGCTCTTTATTACGACATGCTGTTGTGACGAACAAGCGACACGAAAACGAAAACAACCGAAACAAATGGGACAAATAACAATCGTTTCTAAAGAATGGTCTTTTCGAGATGCAATGTACACCTTCACGGCTTCTCACTTGTTTGCGCTTGTTTCCGAATTCATTCCTCCCACGTCAGAACAGTTGAATAAACAACGTTCACTGTTGTTTACCCCGGTTTTCCGTTCACTGTTTTTCATCGTTCAGCACTAAAGGAACACCTAAATAGATGTTCGGCATTGAGATCTTCCGTTATAAACTGGTTCTTGCAATGTTATAACAATATTTTATTGAATAGAGGACTTTCCGTTTAGACCAAAACAGGCCTTTCAGAATTTAAAAATGGTTATCGAAATTATATGACCCGCTTCTTACTATCATTTAAAGGTTCGGGAGTATGTTAATGATGAATTCTCAAGAACAGGAATTGAGACACGCTGAATCTTAAAGAAGGCTACAAAGAATATATGTATCGTCGAATCCACAGTATACCAAAACTAAATGACTTGAAACAACCACTAGCATGCTGAGATATTTGCAAAACTCCGTACCGTAGGTGTCTGTATTGGGGATCGAACGCGCTATTACCTTTTCCGGGGGCTAACGCGTTCACCACCACACCATACGGGTCATTCGTTCCACTTGTCTCTCAGCTATTTCTATCGGTGCCATCAGCAATCAGCCGTAAATTATTTGAATTATTAGCGTTCTAGTGAATGAATCTTTTAGGGAAGACCTGGGAATATGGTTGCTTCGCGAATGTCTTCCTGGTTACGAGTTCGTCGCCTGGGCGCGTCGATGTATGACAAGCAGATCCGTGAAAAAGCAACAAGAACTTTGCAATTCGTATAACTCATCCATCTACCAGTTTTGCCCATCTGAAACGAAAACTGAGGTGTGAACTAATGATTGATCGATGCTATTACGAAGATCCATTTCTGAAGGTGAAGCATACACACACCGAATTCACTAAGGTGGTTTTGATCCTGGGAAACCAATTTTTGTTAGTTTGCGATTTCAGGAAATTACCACAGTTATATTTTGGCCAAACAACAGTATTTGATCAGAAACTGATCCATGAATGCTTTTCAAATTATTTAACTTTTTTTTGAGAGAGGTAAAAATTGTTTAAATTATTGCCAAAATAGCGAAGAAAGTCATGAATTATCCTGATGTCCGGTCATTCCACACACCTGTGAACTACCGCGACCTCGGTAACGCTGCAATAGAAACTAGCTCTTGTGCTAAATCATCACTTAGACGTCAGACTTGGGTAAACAGTTTCGTATCAGTAGCGAAAAACTCTTCAGTAAACGAAATCTTTCAAAAATCAAACGGTATCATAATGTAACAATTTGGAATAATTTCATGCATGAACTCGACTCAGTAATTCAAAACTAACGCTTATTTTTTCCATCAAATGTAGCAGTTATTATTAAATGCTTAACCAAAACAAGTATGGAATGCTGTCATCATTTCCAGTTCCTGATCGAGGAGATCCGAGACGAGCCTCGACAATGTGAATGTCCAAACGGCGAGAATAACTGTGTGTGTCCGAGTCCGGAGATTCTCGAGCTGGTCAGCACGCCGATTACCTCGAAGAGGGCTCGCCACCCTCCGTTCAATTTCTCGGTAACTAGAATTCAGTTCTGTACATGTTTGACAAATGGTTAGGCCCGATTTCTTTTACAGCCGTTCCAGTTCTCGCACTACCCGTTATGTCCATGCCCGGCTATTGAGCCTGCGTGTGCCTGTGTCACAACAAATAACCAGGATGAGAAGGTACATCGTTTATTTTTCCCTTCCGATTTCTCGAGTAGGTCTTCTTTCCTAAGAATATACAAAATCAAAGCAAAACACATTAATGCCACAGAGCAGTCGTCATCAACTTCGTGGAGGTCCTTTCATTTTGTCGTGGACCCCAATCTTGATCAAGTGACTTGCAACTGGAAGGCGCTCCAGCATGCTTTCGACGAATAAGTTTGACGTCTACTCGAAAAAGACTGAAAACTTATCCATACCTACCCGTGCACGTCATACCTAGCCAAGACAGTCAGTTGTGAAAAATAAGCGAATCCGTTGAAAAAAGAAGGGAATCCATGAGAACGGAAACGAAGAAAAGTAGTAATTGTAATGACTGACTCCTGTGTCGACTGCAAACCGTTTCAGATTCTTCTCTCGCTCTTGTGTTGCACCGAACCAGCATTGAGCCCATGTCGGTGTCACGGGCCTCCTCAACAGGTTCGTGGATTAGTTTAATCTACGGAACTGTTGAAAATTTTTTGGTGATGTTTGGTTTACTCAGTCCGCTAGAGTTTATTTTAATTACTTCACTGTTTGATACTTTTCGGAGTGGCATAGAAGCGTTATAATACTTTTGATACTTAGTGTTTCCCAGGTGACGTTAACGACAAAGGAAATGTGAAATTAACTTTTTGAGATTTTCTAGCAATCCCATTGAATAAACATATTTTTCCTTTACTTGTTCATTTTATTTTACACTACTCGGCATCACGTGTGTTGCACGGTGTTGGTCCCAACACTTGCCTCATTCGATTCGTTCCCTTGCATCTACCATCCACGAACCTACGGATTTGCCTATGAGTTCGTCTGCTGCTCTAGGATTTCTTGCTCTTTTTTATGAACGTCGTTGAATGTTGGTCGAGTCGATTTTCCATGGAATCCGGAGTCTTGGATAACTGTGCTTTAGGGTTCCCAGATTTCCATTGCAAGCAATGAACGAAACGAGCTAACCTGAAATAAATGTGGTACTAATTTCCCAACCACGGAGGGATAAAAGCCTTGGCTGGCTCGGGCAGGGTCGAAGCAAGGTCGCGCACGTTACGAATGGTATTACTACTACTAGAATACCAGCCCACTATAAAACGTTGTGAATTGACAAAACTTCTCTATATATGTTAAATTTGATACAAATAGAAGAGACAGGAATTAGGATATGATCGAAGAGCTTTCATTTCATTGCTGCGTTGTTTTTAGCTGCAGCACAACTGTCAAACGACAAGCACACAGCAGCAGTACTGTCCGCAGCAACAGCAACAGTCGACTATCGTGCGACCACAGGCCTGCCCTCTCGGTGTGTCCTCAGAGAAGAGAAATCGTTATCATTTCCTTATATGAGAAAAGATACATTTGAGAAAATTTATCTTTGAAATTTTTCACAAAATTTGTTGTTTAGTTGAGAAAAGATGTACAATATTGCTCATGGCAGCGTTCCGTAGAAAACTATCTGAGAGAAACGCAAAGCAAGGGCCTCCGTGGCGCAGTACGTAACGCGCGAGCCCCCGGAAAGGAAAATCGTGGTTCGATCTTGCCAGGGGTCCCAGCTTTGCGAATGTCTGAGCATCGTTAAAAGATGTAGGATAATTCAAATATAAATATCAAAAAATTATTTTTTAAGAAATAACATCAACTTTAACAAAAATCACCTGTAACACCTGTAGTCCCGTTGGTCATCGAGTAACTCGAGCGGGCACCAATAAATCTTCCACTTTTCCCTGTCGCATGCAAGAGTAACCCAGTGGGTTCTGCTCGCTCTATGAACTCGTCGAGTATCATATCTTTCTTCAAGGCTCTTTGTAAAGAACTCTGCCCATCGGGTCGGTGGTCTTCCTGCAGAGCGTTTCACATCCCGAGGAATCCAGTCACTAATGGCTCCTGTCCATCGGTTGTTGTTCATACGCATTACGTGTCTAGCCCACCTTATCTTCGACTGTTTGGCATACACAACGGAATCTTTGATTTTTGATCGTTGACGCAGATCGGAGCTTCGGATCCCATCCCTTACTTGTGTGGAACGGGATACTCCTAGCGGAGTCCTTCCGACTGCGCGTTCGATAACGCTGAGTGACCTTTCATCCTGCTTACGCAGTGACCAGGTTTCTGACGCATACGTTAGGGCAGGAAGGAAGTACCGTTGAGTCGAAAAGGTGAGCAAAGAATCGGGTGCTCTTTGTCTCCTTACTACTTCTTCGATTCTCGTGAAAGCTCGCCAAGCCGTCCGCCGTTTCCTTCTGCTCAGCTTTGGAGCTAAGCCGTTCATCATATTGATTTCTGGACCTAGAAAGACATAATTGGAGCATTCGGAGATATTCGTTCCATTGACCGTGAATGGAGCATACAAAACCAATCCGTTCTTCATGAACATCGTTTTGTGAGATTTAGCCGAAGACCAATCTTACCACAGGCCTAATCAAAGTCGGCAAGCATACGTTCCGCGCCCATATTATCACATTCCAATGTTCGCATGACGTTCTGGAGGGCGGTGGTAAGTAGTTTTGGGGAGTTAGTATCGCCTTGCCTAACTCCTCTTTTGACGTCAATGTTAACATCGTTGTAAAATGGTGATAACTTGGTTGTGAAATTTCTGAAAAAAACACGAAGAATCTTTATGTACTGAGTAGGGAATCCTTGACTATCAAGGCTTCCATAACTTCTTCTATCTCAACTGAATCGCAGGCCTTCTGTAAATGATTAAAGTGAGACAGAGCGGTCTTTTGTACTCTCGCGATACTTCAATGAGCCTTGTTATCGTGTGGATTTGGTCCATCGTACTAAATCCTTTTCGAAACCCTGCTTGTTCATATGGCTGTCCTTCGTCCAGTGTTCTGTCAATCCTGTTTAGGATGACTCGAGTGAAAAGTTTGTAGACGACAGACAGCGAGCAGATTGGGCGATAGTTGCGTATATCGTGTACGTCACCCTTCTGGAATGGCTTCGAGAAGATGGCTCACTGAGAAAGACCTGACTCGACACGAAGGCGAGGCTGCAACGTCGAGACGAACAACAAGCATGGACCATCGACTCGGATCATCGGCTCTGAGGAAGACGAAGACGTCGAAGCGTTAGCCGAAAATGAATAAATATCATTATCAACCTCGTGTAACTTCATCAAAGAAAGAATACATATTGATTATTGATACCGAGGTTCAAGGAGAGTCGGTTTCGAAATATTTCTTCGTCATAACGTCGCTGAGATATTTGCAAAACTCTGGACCACAGGTGTCTATGGTGGGGAACGAACGCGCTATTGTCCTTTCCGGGGAGTAACGCGTTCACCACAACACCATGCGGGTCCTTCGTTTCGCCTGTCTCTCAGCTATTTCTATTGATCTTTGCCACACCATAGACACCTGCGATCCAGAGTTTTGCAAATATCTCAGCAACGTTGTGGTTGTATTTCGCTTAGTACCCTGCCGCGAAAATAAAAAGGTATAACATTCTTCGTCGTAGTTTGATGCCGGCGCGTAAACAACGAACTTTAACAAAAATATCAATGGAAATCGTTAAGAAAGGAACTTTATGTAAAAAGGAAATGATGCTTTTCTCTAGCATATTGAATTCGCCGGTAAACTAACTACGAACGACTTTTCTCAATAAAATCATGATTTGACGGATTTCGAAACATTCCTAAAATGGCAAGTTGATTCTACGCAAGAATCCACAGGAGACACGCTTGATAGGAAGTGCCTTAAATCGGGCAGATGTACTGGGTGACCGATCTGAACCTTTCGTTTCAGTACAACAAGGACTGCAAAGAACTCAGTACCAGGGCATCTGTTCGTGGATGGTGGACCCGTTAGCTGCAGATCCACAATCGCGAACTCATTACTTACAATGCCAACCGGCTCCAAAGAACTTGTTTTGTGGACGATGGCAGCGCATGCCCTGCGCTCCTTCGACCGTATTTGATGTCCAAGCGCAGGTATTTGCTAATAAATGCCTTTATTAACGTGTCGTGATTGAAAACTGTTTGTATTTTAAGTCTTTTGCTGGATTTTCATCGTGGTGGACCGAAAACGGAATCAATTAAAACGCTCTAAGTTCCTCTATAACTCAATTTTATCTTGGATGTATTGATCACTTATCGATCTCCAGTTGCAATACAATAGCCTTTTTTGTTAAGACAGGCCGTTTTTTTACTTGTAACAAACTTGTGCTTTGCAGTCTTCATATAGTTCAATTTTTAACTTAATCATAGTGTAGTGAATTTTATTTTCTCTCAACTATACTCCTCAATTCACTGATTCCACTGGCCAAATTTCTCCTTTAGAATAATCTGTGAAGATAACCGGTGTGTGGCTGTTGTACTTACAGTTCGGTAAAGTTTTATATACATGTCTCTCCTAGGTGTGCGTTTGGGACACACAAACGTCCTTGCCGGGAGCAGTGCCTCCTGCTGGACCGCACGTTCCACCACCTGCTCTACCTCCTCCACAAGCTCCACATCCTCCACAAGTTCCATATCCTCCACAAGCTCCACATCCACCACACGTTCCATATCCTCCACAAGCTCCACATCTTCCACATGTTCCACATCATCATCAGTGTTCTTGTTTAGGTGGCGTTCTGATTGGCTCATGCAATCAGAACTTTCAATGCCCAGGACAGTCCGTGTGTCAAGTGGGCCAAAACTACGGAAAACAGGTAATTAGTACATACTATCTTTATCGAAAGTGTCTTATTCTATTTGTCTTCATATTACATTTTCTTTGTTTCGTTTTCGGGATGTTTGCCGTCCAGATTACTAAGGTAGCGGTCCTAGATGTCTAAGAATTTTTGATCGTTCATTTAACGGTTGTTATGTATTAATTACGAAGTTAAATAACTTTTCTATGAGTTGTCAAAGGACCGAATTTATATGGAGTACGCGCATTGTGAAGAAAGTCCAGCTCCAAGAGCTTACTACCTTCGTCTAAGTGCCTGCTAGCAGCATATATAGTTCAAGGGTAGAACTTTCGACTTTGATCAATTGCTGGTGCATCATGCATTCGATTTCATCGATCGTCGTTAGAGGTGGCTGAATACACATCCGACCTATGCAGTGACTTGCGGTGATATACCGATGTATTAAGTCAGTACTACCATTCTCCCAAGTCTTGTAGAATGAAGAGCGGTAACCTTCTTAAATGATATAATTGAAAGTACTTTATTCGAGTTGTGTTTAATGTGAGCATTGCCTGTCCAACATCTTGTCGCATTCTTTTCAATCCACGCGTCCTTCAAGAGTGGACATCATTCTTACTTGGATACTTGGATGGCCCGTCCTCACTTTGCTGGTTTGGCATTGTGTTCCTCTGGTATCCCGAGGTCAGCCTGGTCAAACTCTGGCCCAGATCGTCAACACCGCAGGAAGTCGGCGCCCTTGTGGATCGAAGGGATATTTGCCACCATGCGACTAGTTTGACACCATGACGGTGGTGGGTCCTGGTATTGGTTTACTCTTAGCTGGGCTTCCTGGTAGAAACGACGGAATCCTTTCCAGCTTGAGAGAACCTGCCGGGGAGATGAATCCCCGGTGTACTTCGCAGCCCGACACCCTGGAACACCAACCAGCCACGATAAGGCGGAATACCGTTGGGAGTGGACATTATTCAGAAGAGTGAATTCTGAATACTTACATCTGTAGAACCCTTGTTGAAAGTAGCTAGCCAAAGCATCACTGCAGTTTAGTTCTCGCATCTTATCTTATCTTCATCGTTTCACTGTGTGATAGATTAAACGTACAGTAAGTCATCTATATGGACAGCTGTAATGAAACTTCGTCCTCTTAGAAACATCCTTTCCATACCAATTTCCGCTTCCAAAGTGCATTAGTCCTTTTTCACTCATCAAATATGTTCAAGGATATTTCTGTTTTTTTTGTCCTAAGAGAGGAAAATGCAAGGAAGCTGTGCTTGTTTCAGTGTATGGTATGCTGCTACTTCCGTAGAAAATTGCGACGTGTCTGAGATTACAACCGTGGACTTCACGTTGTTGTACAAAAAAGGAACCCTGAAGGATAAGTACTCAACATATAGCGTAATAATAGGTCACCTTCGTCTTTCCACTCTTAATTGGAATTGTAGAAGCTTCGTTGTGAGGTGTTGTTCACAATGTTACGGTGTTCTTTGTGATTTCGAATCGTTATCGAAAAAAAGTTGGTGAATGCCGAATGAGACACGTTGGCGCGTTATCCGTAATTGTTGCATTTTTCAACGATGTCTACAACGACGGTTATTTTAATAAAGTTTCATTAAATGTTAACCTTTTATTTTCTGCCTACTACAATTTTTAACGCCAGGGTATAATGTGAATTACAACCATAGCGATGTAGAGATATTCGCAAAACTTGCACCTCGGGCCATATCGAACCACGATTTCCTTTCCGGGGCCTCATGTAATACACACATCGCCATGGACATCCTTACTCTACGTTTTTCTCAGCTGGTTTTCTAGCTAACGCTGCCATCAGCAATCACCTGCCGGTTGTTCTGGGGAGTACAAATTGTCACTGAACCCAGTTAAGCTGAGGCTATGGTCGAAATCACAGTGTTAACTTTCTGAAGTTTTTTTTTAATACTTGTGAATTCGTTTGTAGACAAGTTTAATATTTTATTCAATAAGTCAGTGTTCTCTTCTGAAGCGGATACGAGGTTGTTAACAAGATTTATTTAAAATCAGCTGAGGTTTGGGAGCTTTCACCTCGTTCATAGCCTAGAAACGTCAAATTGATATGCAATACACGGAAACCAAACACTCGTAATCCGAGCAGAGAAAAATTAATACATGAATTTGAACAATTCTTTCTACTTCTGTTCAGCAAACACGAGGTGCTATTTTATTTCTTTATTTACGTACAAGTTGACGTTTCGGCGGAGTTCCTCTTCCTCAGAGCCTGGAAAGGTCAAGTTGACAGCAACCTATTCGGCCAAACACCTCCATAACCAAACAGAGAAAGCGGTAAACCAAGATTTCAATCACATTTAACACAGCTCTGCACACTCACCGCTTTATATGAGTCTTCCACTGAGTATGCCGTGTGAAGACCAACCGCACAGAATTCACATGGAAGCGTAATGTGCTCCTCCCATCAGAATAACAGACTTATATACTGTCCAATATCACGCGTAATAATGAGGCATTCTTCCCTGTGGTTCATTTTCGGATTTCTGAAATTAATCCAGAACACCTCGAGAGTTTTGCACGCCTGTGTTCTTGATTCCTGCGTGAGGATCGTGACACGTAAAGTCCTCCTTGTTATGTCTCTGGGTCCTATACGTGCCTAGCGGGGTATTTGGTTTACGTTAGCCGGTTAAGTGTTCTTTTATGTGGACGCAGAGGCGTCTGCCCGTTTCGCCAATGTATTCGTCTCCGCACGCCTTACAGGAGATTAGATAAACTACACCCGAGCTCATGCAGTCATCGTCTCTACCATTGGGGCGAATTATGCAATTTTTCGTTGGACATAGACGGTCATATGGGCGGTTACGAACTAGCTGGCGCCTAAGACTACTCGGTGGCATTTCAACTACGTTTACCGAATTTTCTAGACCCGCCCTTCTTAAGCAGCGTTTTATAGCTGCACTTACATCATTTGAGATGAAGGTTAGGATAAACGGGACCTTTCTGTCGCTAGAGTTGTCGTTTGGGGCCTCCGATTTCGTCTACACCTATCCCGAGCTACAGTTTCGTAGCCATTAGAAATGGCTATGTGCCGCGCCAAGTTCCGGGACTCCTCTCTCAACTCTTTTCCCGTGCACACGTTGGTTGCCGTTCGAAACATGTTTCTTACAAGCGCTGCTTTTGTGTCAGAGGGGTGAGAAGAAAGGTAATGCACCAAAATGTTTTTGCTACTTGGCTCTCGGTACCATTTCGTACTGTAGCCATTTAAAAACTTGGAACTGGAACTGGAACTTGGCGCGGCAAATAGCCATTTCCAATGGCTACGAAACTGTACCTCGGGATAGGTGTAGGGGAAATCGGAGGCCCCCAAACGATAACTCTAGCGACAGAAAGGTCCCGTTTATCCTAACCTTCATCTCAAATGATGTAAGTGCAGCTATAAAACGCTGCTTAAGAAAGGCGGGTCTAGAGAATTCGATAAACGTAGTTGAAATGCCACCGAGTAATCTTAGGCGCCAGCTAGTTCGTAACCGCCTATATGACCGTCTATGTCCAACGCAAAATTGTTAATTTGCCCCAGTGGTAAAGACGATGATTGCATGAGCTCGGGTGTAGTTTATTTAATCTCCTGTAAAGCGTGCGGAGACGAATACATTGGCGAAACGGGCAGACCCCTCTGTGTCCGCATAAAAGAACACCTAGCCGGCAAACGTAAACCAAATACCCCGCTAGGCACGTATAGGACCCAGAGACATAACAAGGAGGACTTTACGTGTCACGATCCTCACGCAGGAATCAAGAACACAGGCGTGCAAAACTCTCGAGGCGTTCTGGATTAATTCCATAAGTGGTCAGCGGGCACTTCTTTTATGGTGCAATTTTGGGTTTTTGGAACTGTCAAAAAAGGTTCTAAAGTTTTTCGCGCAGGTATTTTACATTCCATTGCGATGGTACTGAGGATACTGACTTCCACTTTAAAGCCTTCTTCCTTATATCCGCTAAGTGTGTCTAGTGGAGTGCTCTGTTTCACTTTAAGTGTCCCAACTAGGCCTATGGAGCGTGTGTAGCGCAGTAGTTAGAGATAAGGCGTAGTTGAAACGAGACCCTTGTCTTCGTTATACTTATTACTTAGGATCTTTGTTTTTCAATACCGAGGAGCTATCGTTTCGTAGACATTTCGTAGACAGAACATTCGAAATAGCTATTTGCCACGCCAGTTTCAGGGCTTCGTCTTTCCACTACCTTCCTTTGCATACACTGGTGGCTGTTCGAAGCATGTTTCTCGCCAGCTTCTTTTTTGTGTGTGAAGTGTGAGAGGAGACCTAATGAATCAGTATGTTCTTGTTACTTCGCTTTCGGTACCCTTTCGTAATGTAGCCGTCTTCAGATAGGTTGATATGGACGTTCAAAAAGGAAGTCGCTCGTTTTTTGGTTTCAGCCACGTGGAACCTATCTACTCTTAATCTTTGCTTAGTAATTCAAAACATTTGTCCATATGTTCTTTGTGTTGAGCAAATGACTAAGGAGTCCGGACTAGATGCTAGTCTCTGTCCCTTTGCATTTCACTTCCACGTAGTATTTCCCTGACCACCTAAAGATTGAGCAGTTGACTCTGACTGGCGAAACTATGAGCTTCTGGATCAAGAAGCTATATATGTCTACTACTCCTTGGTATTGCATAATGAGCTCATGGATGGCCTGCCTTACAGAGTGATTCAATACGTTAATGTAAAGGGTGTTGACATCGAGGTACTCCACGCACGCGCTGTTAGGACGTGCGTTACACAAACGATCCATGAGCGCCTGCATATTTTGGGATGATTCTAGCCATTTAACGGCAAGATGTAAACACTTCTGGCAAGATGATATCTTTTAGTCGAACTCTTCGCCGAAGATGATTTCATTTCAAATAAACACAACGATGAAATTCTCGTTGTAAAGATGAATAGATCAAGAATCATTGTGTACGGGGTAGAGATGCCATGGTTGACTACAGATCTCTTAACATTCTCTATCTGGCTATAGATGAAGTAGAAGTTCTAAATGAGCTTTTTTATTGACTTTGTGAGAGCAGTGGTTATTCCATCTGGGCGCGAATAATAGTGCGCCGTTTTAAGACGGCAAAGCTTGAGGGGGATGAAATAGTTATTTTTGGGCTAGTTGAAAAGTATTCAGTTTGTAAAAAGCTAGCAATAACTAACTTAATAGAATTGTTGAGCATTAGGATTAGGACCTACATTAAAGTGACTGGAAAGTACACGTTAAGGATTCATTTAGTGGCGACCGCCAGCGTGCGGTGATCGCCGCATGAGATTGTATTCTGCGCTCGATCCGTATCTCACCTTATGATCCGTTACATGGTGTATCGATGACCACTTTTTTTGAAACCCTCGTTTACTAGCCCACATAGTTCGATTCGTTCAAGTTTTCAGTGAAAGCAAGAAACACTCGCTGCGTGTACGGCATGAGATGGACTCGAACTCACGATCGCGCCATGGTTCTGTTCATATTCTGTTCGTGCTGTATATCGTTGAATGTGCTGTTCTCGAAAATTCGACGTATTCTAGAGATTAAGGAATTGGAACGTACTTCTAAACAGGAGGCGCAGATTGTGTCGCTTATCTACTACAATTCGACATACGCCGGGTTAGTTCAGTTTCCTTCACAGCGGTGTGAATTTCCATTCTGTAGTCACCGAAGTAAACGTACACTTACTATGCAGCTACTTTTTATTTACTGCGAATTCTTTTCCATGGCAAGGTATGATGTGAAATATAACTACAATGATGTTGAGGCAATTGTAATACACCGGACCGCAGGTGTCCACGGTGGGGATGGAACCCGCCACTACCCTTTTCGGGGGCTAACGCTTTCACTACCACAGCATGTGGGTCTTTCTTTTCGCCATTGTCTCGGCCGTATTTTATAGGTGCTATAAGCAATCACGTCAATCACCGAAAGTCCCACATGATTTGGCGGCGAACGCGTTATCCCCAAGGGTAATACTGTGTTCTGTACCTACCGCAGACGTCCGGAATTTTGCAAATACTTCGTCCATGGATTGGAAAAAGAATAGGCAGCAAATAAAAAGTGATTACATTGCGATCTGTTGTGATTTATACTACAGCTTCAACCTAATTGGGTTCAATGCCGATCTGCGCTCACCGTATCAATCCCGTTGACAGTTGAATGCTGATAGCACCTATAAAACACGGCTAAGAGAAAGTCGAAACGGAGGGCCCGCGTTGTGTGGTGATGAAAGTGTTAGCGCCAGGAAGTGTAATATCGTTTTCGATCGCTCGCTGACACATGCGGTCCGGAGTTTTGCAAATGTCTCAGCATCACAACGTGTAAAAGGCAGTAAATAAAAAGTCATAATTGTGTATCTAAGCACCATTGTAACTATTGGATAGTTTTCGACTAATAACGGCTTCTCGAGGGTTACTATTTCGTGGAAACCCTCGTTTCTGAAATGAGGGAATAATTTTCAACTGAAGGATTTTTGAATTTTTCGTCACTTCACGATACAAACACTAAGACGTAGACTTCTGCGCAGCCCATGTAATCAAGTTATATGAATGCTCGGCAGCCTTGTAAATTCCTTCCTGGGATCCCGGGAAAATCTGTTTGCATACAATTTGTACAGATCTGCCTACATATACGGGGTGTAGAGCACTGTTAGAGGCACGCTGGAACGCACACAGCCACATATATATATATATATATATACATACATACACATACACATACACACACAGATTGCTCATTGGTTCAGTTCCGCGCCTTGGGAATCCAAGCCCTCCATCAGTTCGGTGTCAGCAGACTGGGGTACCAGGCTTGTGGAGGAGGATAAAAAATCGACTTGACATCGGAAAGCCACTGAAAGTCATTGTATAGGCCAGATATGCAATCCACCACCTCTGTGGTGCTACGAATGGAGTGGAATGCATGGAACGTCACTGAGAATTGATTAACGCCAAACGCTTTATGCGTTTTACTCGTTTCTACCTATTCAATTGCTTTGCTCAAAAAATATCTTTATTACAAGTGTTTCGGTTGTATTTTAATGACGGAGCATCTGTGGTAACCAAAGAAAAAACAACAGTATGGTTTCGTTCTTTGTGTTTAGGGGCGTCTGTTCTCTATACTTTATTATTCACTCTGATGATGGTTTCATGCCAGGCGGTACTGTTTGCGAAACGCGCAATGCTTCTACACTTTACAAAAACACGCTCAGGTTGGTAAAAATGGGTGCAAAACAACCACTTTTTTTAGAGCACATCGTAGCGTAACTGAGACAATAAGCTGTCGAACTTCTAGAACGATTCATCTGGGGCTGCCTAACGTTCTATTTGGAATTTGTGAGTCGGCCACTGAACCAATGGAAGTAGCCATACATGTCGACGACTTTCGAGTTTCGGTATGCTTCCTATCAACGACTAGAAAAAATTGTTAAAAAAGCGGAAAATACTTGGAGATTACTAGTACATCTAATTTTCGTGTGCATCTCCGGGAACAACCTGGTCTAAGCTGACAAGAACTGGTAAAACAAACCGGATTATATCGATCGCAGCGCGACTACAATGTTTTTTACTACTTACTGGAAGTCGGATACGAATCGAAAACGCAATAATACTACGCATTAAATAATGTAACTAAAGTTTTAAATCGTTCCTACTTTATCACCACTCTTATCACCTTGGTTCTTGGACACTTAGACACTTGGATGGCCCGTCCTCACTGATTGAGCGGGCCTCAGCATGATCTGAATCTTTTCGGAGATTTGCTGGTTTAGGCATTGTGGTCCCCTGGAGTCCTGAGGTCAGCCTAACCAAAGTCTGCCCCAGGTCGTCATCACTACAACTGGTCGCCTCCTTTGTGGATCAGAGGGAGCTTTGCCACCATACGACCAGTTTGATACCAGGACGGTGCTGGATCCTGGTACTGGTTTACTCTTAGCCAGGCTTCCTGATGGAAACGCCGGTCTCCTTCTCAGGTTGGGAGGCCGTGCAGGGGAACGAATCTCCCCGCTGTACATCGCATTCCGACACCCAGGAACGCCTCCCAGACACGATGAGGTGGTAAAACGGTGAGACCGCTTAAAACACTTTGGTTCTACTAATCAGTAATTCTAGGAAACACCAATAAACTTTTCTCGGCCCCACTGGTAACCAGAATTAACCACTGAGCACTAATTCCTTGTGGGAAATGAAGGAGATCATGGTTTTGGTCACCTGTATCATCTGTCGTTCCGCTGATCGTCAGGATGGCTGGAACGGACGTCAATAAAGTCTTCCTTTTATCTGTATCGAGTACATTGGTTGGCCGGTGAGTCTTGCTCGCTCGAGGGACTTGTTGAACATCATATCTTTCTTGAAGGATTTTCATGAAGAATTCCGCCTATTGGTTCCTGCAACATATTTGACATTCAGAGGGAATCTAGTCACTAACAACTTTTGTCCATCGGTTGTCATCCATAAACACTACATGTCCAGCGCTCCTTATCTTCAACGGTTTGGCATGTAGAGCGGCATCTTTGATTCTTGATCGTTGACCCAGGTCGGAGCTTCAGACCTCTTCCCTCAAATGTGCGACACGAGATGCTTCTAGCATGCATCATGCTCTCGACTGCGCGTCCAATAACGCTGAGTCGTATTTCGTCCAGGTTTCTGACGCTTACGTTAAAGCAGGAAGTATCGTGGAGTCGAAAGGATGAGCGTGGAGTCCGGTGTTTCTTGGGCTTTTCACTACACCTTCGATCCTCTTGATAACTCCCCAAGCCACTCATTTCCTTCTGCTCAACTCTGGAGCTAGGTCGCCCATCATGTTGATTGATTGATTGATGTCGATCTAGATAGACGTAGCTGAGGCATACGGAGATATCCGTTCCGTCGAGCGTTGATGGGGCATACGTAACCAATCCGTTCCTCATGAACATGGTTTTTGTGAGGCATAGTCGAAGACCAATTTTTCCACAGGCTTTATCAAAGTCAGCAATCATTCGTTCTACTTGGTTAATGTTGTTATAACGGCGATGTCATCACCAAAGCGAAGGCCCTGTAATTTGATCCTCATTCCGTTGTCCCATGTTAATGTTCGCACTGCCTCGAAGGTGGCGATGCAGAACTTTAGCGAGATTGTAGCGCCTTGCCTAATCTTTCTTTTGACGTTGGTGTTAGTTTCGTTAAATAACGATGTTTGATCGTGAAATTTTGATATAGTTCACGAAGAATCTTTATATATTCAGTAGGGACTCTCCATTTATCAAGGGTTTCCATGACTGCTTCTACCTCATTTGACTCAAAGGCCTTCTTTAAATCGATGAAAGTGAGACAGAGCTGTCCTTTGTACTCTTGCTGTACTTCAACGAGTCCTGTTATCGTGTGGATTTTGTTCATTGTACTGAATCCTTTTCGAAACTCTGTGGTTGTCCTTTGTCCAGTGTTCTGTCAAACC